TTGTAGTCTTAAGTTCAGGGTTTGAAAGAAGCTTGGCATATATTAAAAGCAGTTCCCAATTAAATTCTTGATATTGGTAATCATTTTATCTAGGTTCAACCAAGGAATATTTTATCTTCTCTGTTTATTGAATATAAGCTAGTTCCAAGAAATAAGCTAGATAATTGGAATTCACAATTTATAGAGGTTGGTTTAACAGGCTAACATGAAGGATAGGCATGTATGGAGATAGCTTTGTCATTTGTGATTGTTAAATATTCAAGAATTTTGAAAGGTAATTGCTTAGAATAAGCCGCGTTAAGAATATTTCTAACACAGAAATCTGCAAATGCTACCAGACAGGTCTGGGTTTTGCTTTGGGGTCTTGTTTTTTGTCATTGTTGTTGGTTTGTTTGTTTGTTTTCCTTAGTAGAGGAGGAGAAAAAATATAGCCATTGAGTGTAAAAGACCTCTGTTTTCTGGTAAGGGAAGAAATAAGATCCTAAGCTGAGAATGGCGGACATTGGGGATCAGGTGAGTGATTTGAAGTCGGTGAAAATAGTGTAGAACAGCTGTTGAGGCAGACAGGAAAGAGAAAGGATTGATGAGGGAGAATGTGAATATAAAATATTGTTATTTCTATATATACATAATTCTTTGAAAGAAACACTAAAATGATAAATCATTATGTAAAGACGGTATAATTATGAATTTTACATGAAATTTAGTTCTTCGGGGCAATGTATTTTGAAAAAGAAAGAAAAATGAGCAATTCTGATTAATTGGTTGTCCCATTAAATTATGTAGAAGGGAAACAGTTTGTCCTGTCTCGAATAAGTTTGCTTCTGTCTAAGGTTGAGTTTTCTCATAGTCTTGTCGTGTATAATTATATTGTCTGATCTGACAATTAAGTGTTTTAAAAGTAGCAATGAGGCATTCCATTTGGATAATGTGTTACACTGTACAAAGTGCTTTCACTGCACGTATCCTTTGATCTCACTTATGGCTGATCTCCCAGTGGCATGTTACTGTATTTCAGAGAAGCTACTAGACCTTCTACCATCCACTTCGAAGGAAGACTCATATAAATGCAGATTTAAAGCTATTTCGGATGACTTTGAGATAAACAGAATAAGACTGAGGAAAATAATATATCCACAGGCTGAAATTTCATGACAAATAGTACCTCTTTAGGAAATAGAGTGATTAGAAAAGTAAGATAAGATGTAAGTTTGATAAACAATAGGGCAATGGAAAGTACTTGTGGATCAGTGACAAGAATCAATTATGAATTTGTCTTTATCTCTGACCTAAGCAAATTTAAGCTGAATATTTGCTTTTTTCAGATTAAAAAGGTAAAAGCAGACAATTTAAAACCTAAATATCTTTTCTAGAAATAACAGAAAAAAGACTTAACTATAAATCTCAGTTAACCTACTCTCCTGAATTGGCAATTTCGGTTTATGAATTTTTCTGTTGTCTGCACATATAGGAATAAATATTCTTTTTTTTCTTCTTTTTTTGGAGAGATTTTTGCTACAGGGCACGTGCACTCACCAGAAAGACAGAGAGAGAGAGAGAGAGAGAGAGCCAGACAGAAAGCGAGAAATCACCCCCCAGGGGGGATGGCCATGCTGCAGTCCCTTCTCCTCCATTCTCCTCTCGGGATCTTGGGCACACACATTTATGCGCCCGGCATGAGTTTAAGTCACCAGGTCCAGGACTTGAACTGCAGTTGACTACATGGGAATCCAGTGACATAGCCATTACACTAACTGCTGGTCCCAAGGAGTAAACTTTTTTTTTTTTTTTTTTGAGAGGTTTTTGCTATAGGGGTGTGCGCTCGCCAGGAAGACAGCTAGAGAGACAGAGAGACAGAAAGCGAGAAATCACCTCCCCTGGGGATGGCCACGCCGCAATCCCTTCTCCTCCATTCTCCTCTCGGGATCTTGGGCATGCACACACACGCGCCTGGTGTGAGTTTAAGCCACCAGGTCCAGGACTCGAACCGCGGTCGACTGCATGGGAGTCCAGCGACATAGCCATTATGCTAACTGCTGGTCCCCCAAGGAGTAAGTATTCTAACCTCAAGAATATAGGTGAAATTTGTGTTGTTTTGTTTTTAGAGAGAAATTTTTGCCATAGGGTGCATGCTCTTGCTGGAAAGACAGACAGATGGAAAGCGAGAAATCACCCCCTGAAGGGAAGGCCACACTGCAATCCCTTCTCTTCTACTCTCCTGTTGGGATTTTGGGCACACACACACATACACACACACACACGCACACACACACACGTGCCTGGCGTGAGTTTAAAGCCACTGGATGCAGGACTCAAACTACAGTTGGCCGTGTGGGAGTCCAGCAGCGTAACCATTAACCATCTGCTGGTGCCCCTCGTGTCTGTCTATAAAGGTACTAATTCCATTAATGAGAGCTCTATGCTCATGACCTAACTACCTCCCAAAGAACCCACCTATTTTACTGAGACTTTTGCTCACCAAAGAGACAGAGAGACAGAAAGTGAGAAATCACCCTCCCCTCTCCCCAGGGAGATGGCCACACTGCAATCCCTTCTCCTCCACTCTCCTCTCAGGATTTTGGCCACACACACACCCATGCTTGGTGCTGATCTGGGACTCTACTCAGGGTCCACCACGTGGGAGTCCAGAGGTGTAACCATTATGCCATCTTCTGGTCCCTAGGTGAAGAGTTTTAAAATGGACTATCAAGCTTTCCTAATGACCTTTTTGAAGTTTATTGATTTTTTTCAATGGGCAAGGGAGACAGACAGGTTACTCCAAGCCTCAGTCAGCCCCTTATCATGAGCATGCATGCACGCAGCATGCACAGTGAAACCTGGAACATGGACCCGGGACCTTTCTACACAGGTCCAGCATCACGGAGTGTCTCCATGTATCGCTGCTCTACCATCCAGTTCTAATTATGTTTTTAAAAGATTCAAGAGGTGATTGTTAAGGACAGGGAGTTTATTCCTTTAGCTGAAAAATCTCTTGACATTCTGTCTTTAAATGTGGTAGCTTATCCTTGAGTGAGCATTTATTGTGTAAGTGGTAGTTAACTGGGCTGTTCCTAAATTTAGAAAAAAATAATCCAAGTGTATTTAACTCTACGGGA